ATATTTTATCATAGGATTACACTTATATCCAATTAGATCTAAAGATAAAATCCTAGTCATTGGAGAAATGACGGGGATAGAGTCGTCAAATTGATGCTATCTCCCCATGCTTTACATTTGGGTTTGGAATAAATAAAGTTGTGTAAAGAATGAAGAGGAAAGAAGAGAGAGCTTCCAAATTCCCCTCGGTGGGGTTTGGTCGAGCATTTTAACAAAAGAAATAGGGACAGAAAGGGGATAAAAATCATCAAAGATATTGTATAGTGGGTCGAAAAAAGATATTCATTAAGATTCCACAAACATTTATGTGTACATGTAGTGTATTGGAACATATGAATCTCAATCGATCAAATATACGAGGGAGGACATTGTGATCGTGTTTGATTTTCATCGAATCCGAGTATCGTGGATGCTTGAGAGACGAACGCTCTAGTGATAAGGAAGTATCTAGTGGTCATCCGTCCTTAACATAAAATCTTACATCCATTCCTATTCTGATTAAAAGTTTCGAGGAATTCCACTTACGTGTTATTATCACATTATGTTTGGGTATAACAATTATCATTCAAACAAAGCGTCTAACAATGTCTGGTTTTGTTGGTGGCCGATAAGAGGTTGTTAATCAATTGAGCCATCATGTTAGGAAAGCTTCATTTGAATAAGCTTATCGTTCTTCTAAGCGACCATCTCGTTGTGGTAAGCAAAGCAATATATCCCTACTTTTAACATTATCATTCTATTCAAACCAACCCCCCTTTTAGGGTTTTGAGTGTCTTATAACAGGGACAAAGGAAAAGACACAAAGTACCAACGTCAGTGTTCAAAAGACATACGTTTAAATTATCATTTAATTTTTTTAAATATATCATTAAAAAAATTATTATTCTTTTTTTTCCTCGTCATTGCTTTGAACTGCCTCCTTTCTCTTCTCTTTGTAGAATTAGTTGTTCTTTCATTTTTGACTAATATTTAATACATTATTGTATATGTATCTATAACCTTTATATTAAGCTTGGTTGAATCAAGTGAAAGAAATTTGATATCTTAAAAAAAATTGTATTAAATTTTATAAATAAAAAGTTTTTTTAAGAGAACCTTTTAATTTAAGAATTAAGATGAAAAAAAGGATAGTATGGACCAACTTCAAACCATAAGAAAATTATATTTGTTTAAAAAATGTGTGTCATTAATTGTAGATACACAATAATACAAACAAATATGATTTAATTTATTATTTAAATTATATATAACCTCTATCAAAATCATTACACACGTATTAAAATTTGCTTTATTATTTAACTTATTTGTCACCCCTTCTCTGCTTTGTCATCCACTATAATCATCACCTCCTGTACCCTATTATATACAAGACCCTGCTACTGAAAATTTCTCTCTTGTTCTCTTTCCCTCTCTCGCATCTCAAATCCATCTGTGATTCTTTATATACACATAAATGGATGGAAGGAGAGGGTTATCGAGTAGAGGAGAGATTTAGAGAAAACGAAGAACATCTTCTTGTCTCTATGTTTTGATAGCACGCGGAGAGCAAATTTTTTCAGCTGCTTACATTTCTAAGAGATAGATATGGAAGAGATACATGGATACATACATATGTGTATTTATCTGAACTGAGTTGCAGAGTTGTTCAGACAAGCAATCCATGTCTAGATAGCGACTTGGAGGGATAACCCATCATAATCTCTTCGCGATATATATTTTGCTTAGTTTGCATCAATAGCTGGGGATTCTCTCTATTTCTGGGCTAATTTTTTCTCTTGTTTTTCTTTCTTTCTTTCTTGGAGTTTTCTTGTTCACAGTCATGTTTCATACAGCTATGTCCAATTCTACTTCTTTATCCGAAGAGGCTGGTACTGTTTCTTCTGGTTTTGGTGGCTTAATCCCTATTGTTTCGACCATTTCTCCTCAGCAGCAGCCACAAAACATCAAGAAAAAAAGAAGCCTTCCAGGGAATCCAGGTAAGACTTTTGTTAATTCTCAAATTTTTCTGGGTTTCGATCATTTTTTTGGGGTTCTTTTAAGTTTTTAACTGTTGGATGCTCTTACAGACCCAGATGCTGAAGTGATTGCTTTATCTCCAAAAACACTATTGGCCACCAACAGATTCGTGTGCGAGATCTGTAACAAAGGTTTCCAGAGAGACCAGAACCTTCAGCTACATAGGAGAGGTCATAATCTTCCATGGAAGCTGAAGCAAAGAAACAGCAACGAGATGAAAAAGAGAGCCTATGTTTGCCCCGAGCCTACATGTGTACATCACCATCCTTCCAGGGCTTTAGGTGATCTGACGGGGATCAAGAAACACTACTGCAGAAAACATGGAGAGAAGAAATGGAAGTGCGAGAAATGCTCAAAGATTTATGCTGTTCAATCTGATTGGAAAGCTCATACGAAGACCTGTGGAACTAGAGAATACAGATGTGACTGTGGAACCCTTTTCTCTAGGTAATTTTCCTTTGATCCTTTTTTCACATTTTTTTATGTTTGTTTGGGTAAGTGGACACCATTAATACAAGTGTCTGTCACTGGTGAACTTGCCAAGAGAAAACTGAAAGCAATGCCTTTGAAAATCTGACCCAGCTGCCATGTTCATCTCTGAACCGAGCATGAGCATGACGTCGTTTTAAGTGCTTTGAAGCTTTGGTTCGAATACACATCTTTTTAATTCTTTAAACTTGATTATTTTGTCTGATAAAAATGATTTTATTGATCTTTTACCAGATTCATGCGTGGGAATGGGCTTTAAGTTTCATGTGTTTTACCCTTTGTAATGGACTGGACTGCAATTTCAGAAGCAATGATGGCTGTCAAAGGAAAAGCAAAATAAGCTTTTAATTATTGCTCTTTGGGGTTTCATTATTAACTTTCGGAGAAACTGATAAATCTGCAAAAATATCTGCGGCTCATTATTTTTTATCTTTTTGTTTCATCCTCACTAGCCACTCCTTTGATTAGATTTATGGTATTATGCATGCATGAAGAGTTCTGGTTCGGCACTATATCATCATAATTTGCCAAATTCTTCAAAATTTGAGCCATCTTTGCATGCATGTGTATACCCATCCATTAACTCTCTGTCATGCATGTCTCCCTCCCCTCAATCCTTTACATTGACCAGCTATGATGATAGCTTCTCCTTAGTTTTTACAACTTTTTTTCTTTGGGTCGAATCTCGTCTTATCAGTTAAATTATGACTCATTTGTAAACGATTTTTGGTGTATCTTATGCAGGAAAGATAGCTTCATAACTCATAGAGCATTTGTGATGCATTAGCTGAAGAAAGTGCAAGGCTCTCCGCCAACCAACTTGCCTCCTCCGCCGTGAATCCAGCTCTCCACCATTTGACATCCCATGCAAACCCCGACGCCGGTCACTCTTCACTTTTCCCTTTCGAAACCCATATCTCTCTCACCCCGTGGGTTGATACTACTCAAACGGCTAACCCTAACCCTAATACCTCACTTCATGTGGAGCCCGAGTCTCGCCATTTCGCTCCGTTCTACCAGGAACAACCGCTGCCGACAACTCCAAAGACCCTGATCGCCTCACCCTTCCAAAGCCTCCACGTCAACAACAACGGTCCATCCATCGTTGCAGATGCTGCCACGTCGACGTCTCCTCACTTGTCGGCCACTGCGCTCCTTCAAAAGGCTGCCACCTTTGGTTCCACCGCCACGCATATAAATACCAACAACAGCAGCAGCATGGGGTGTCATGTATCCCAGGATTACTTTGGGTTCACGTGCGGGAACCTGGACATGTGGCAGAGGAGTAGCGACCGATTCACCAGGGATTTTCTAGGGTTGACCGGAGACCATCACCATCATGGTGGCGGTGGCAATGGGGATGTTAACGTTAGCATGAACGTGGAGGGTGTGCTAAGCTACGCCGGTCAAGTGGAGTTGCAGCACCATGAGAAAGACCACTCGCTGTTGAAGCCCCATGGTTTCGGATTCGCTGAGCCTCCCTCGGAAACATGGGCTGATTGTTGAAGCATAAAGCCAAAATGATAAAACCAGCGCCATTAAAAAAGGATCGAATAGTAGTGATTTAGAAATATCTGGAAGAAAAAAGAAAGAATGACCATGATATAATCCAGAGAGGCGCTATCTCCTCTTCATTTCTTCAACTCCAAGAAAGAAAATCAGCAGTTCATTTTCATTTTGTTTAAATTAGTCGTGCCTCTTTTCAACTTTGAACTAGTGTTCAATAGTAATTAAACTTTGTTTGTGCCCATTTTCTTCATCTTTCCTGGAAAATATATATTATGGTTGACTGGTAATGGAAGTGTTGTATTTTCCAATTATTTTATCTTCATTTTCCCATATAAATTGTTTTTTCTTTAGCAATTATCTGTCTCGACTCCTTCAAAGAAATATACCAAGTGGAGAAAAAGACAAGGGGTTATAGAATTACCCATCAAGTTTGAACTGTCAGGTGTTTCTTCCTTAACTATAAGCAGCAAATTTATTATATTTAATGAATCTGAAAAATTCATTACTGGATCAATCTTTTTTATTTCAATTTCTCTATTTATAATATTACTTTTTTTAAATTGAATGATTTAACGTTTCATTCTATTGAACTAACCATATTATTCGATATTAATTACCCATACGGCAAATATTCATCTACAATACCTTTGGAATATTTTAGAAAAATTGAGAAAGTGGAAAGCAAATATTAGTACAATATACCAAAATTCTTCGATGCTCATGGATTATGAATATGCGTTGTTTTTTTCAAAATGCAATGAATAATATTGTAAAAGAAGAAAAGGAAAAGGAATATTCATCGGCTATTATTCAGTTGCATGTGAGTACCCCCCCCTTTTTCTCTCTCTGATCATGATGATGACCCTACACGTTTCATGCAATGCCATGCTTGTCAATCTATCATGCATGCACTCGAATGACCAAATTACCCTTCGTTAACAGCAACGTGTTGCGTGTTCATATCGTAATTGAAAATGTGTCTATTCGGTGGATATACATATGTGCATATTTAGTATGAAATACAAAGACATAAAGCAATGAATAAAAAGCTAACAGAGTACTTAATAGGGAGGCAATGAGGTAAAATGTCGGTGGAAAGGCAGACCTTTGTTCCGTTTGAATTGACGATCCTGTCCTTCCAGTCCCAGCTGAGATCAAAAAAATTCGCATCAACGTGAATACATAAAATAAAGAATGCTATATTCAAAGCCAAATTCTTATCAACGTGAATAAATTCTATAAAGAATGCTATATTCAAAGCCGAATTCTGTGAATAAATTCTATAAAGAATGCTATATTCAAAGCCGAATCCGTAACCGTGAACAAGCTTTCAAGTTCTACATACGGTTACAGCAAGTAGCAGTTGGCTATTGGTGTTCAAATCAAAGTAACTGAATTGTTGAAAAAGGGTAAGCATTGGCTTTAGAGAGCTATGAACTATTATTTTACTCGACGTGAACCACGAGTAACGGCATACTCGAAGGATTCGAGATACCCGTGATTCTGGACATTATTGCATCATCACGTGACATTAATCCTAGGCTGTCAATTAAAATCTACAGATCACCAACTAGGTTAATTTAGTTAATCCAAAGGTTTTTCAGTTAATCGGTTGGTTAATTTTAGGTTCAATCAGTTAATGGTTAATACTTTTTTTCAAACTTTGGTTTATATTTAATTTGAAATCGATCGGTTTACCAAATTAACCGAAATTATTAAAAATTTAATATATTGTATATTATCTTTATATTAGAGTGTTTAAAAATCGGTTTTAACCGAATTAGCCAAAAATATAAAATTTTAATATATAATATAAATTATTTATATAAATTACAGTTAATTCGATTAACCAACCGATTAACTAAACTTTGTTTGATTCAATTAATTACTTTTGAAAAAATTTTGGTTCAGTTAACGGTTAAAAGGACTAAAAACATTTAATGAAATTTTAGAAGTTCGATTTGGTCGATTAACCGAACTGATCGATTGAACACCCCTATCACCAATCATCAAGGAAACTTATTGTTATAATAATAAAGGTAAATAAATTATAATACATTTAAGGGATGTTATTATAGAGTTTAATATTCCAATTCTCGACCAAATATATATAAAAGAAAAGTTATGATTCCATTTCAAGGTTAACAAAAAGTAGATTCAATAACTTCTTAAGAAAAGAGAGAGAACCTTAGACAGAAGGGAAAATGAAATTATTTCCTGAACATGGGTAAATAAAATTAGCTCTGTACAATAAAGGTTAAAGTACACTACAGGTCATTAAACTTATCAAATTGTTGCAAAATAATCACTTCAACATTATAATAAATTATAAAAAAAATTAATAATCGTTTTATAATATTTGGATAAAATTTAATGACAATTATAATGATTAAATTGAAACTCAAATAAAGTTTTAGATTTAAGGTTTGAAGATAGACAATGCTAAAAATGAATATAACACATACACAAACATATTAGAATTTATAAAACATAAATTATAAACAATGAAAAAAAGATTATATAAACACATAAAACTTAAAAATAATTATAGTACAAAAAATAATATGAACACGGCTCAAAAAAAATTTAAGATCTATTAATAACCATACCCTAACCTAATGGTTGTAGTTTATCTACAAATTCAATCACATAACTTCCCCCCCCCCTTTTCTCTTCATGCTTCAAATTCATTTTAATCAATTCCCAAGAATTTCTTTTTCAGTTATCATTTTTTCATGGGGATGGTAAGAAGGAAATTGGATAATGTAATGTATACCATACAAGTATGTAGCCTTTTCTAAAGAGGTAGGGTGGGACAGTAAAACCTCTTATAAGCGTGAGTGAAAAAAGGCTTACTAAGTTGATGGTGTATGTGAAATTGTGCCGGTGTGTTGGTGGTCCGTAATTTTGTGGTACCAAACCAAAAGAGAGTAAAAAAAAGAGAGTAGTAAAACAAGGGCAAAGAAGAGGACTCGAAAGGATGAAGGGGGGGGGGGGAAATATGTCAACGGTTGTGAAAAAGATGTTGGATTGAACTTTCAAAGTTTGAATCAACAATTCAGTCTTTTATATTTTTTTTAGCTAGGTGAGTGGTGACACTTTATAAATTTCTGTGCATGTCCCTATATCACAATTCACAGCTAATGGTTAGCAGTTGAACTTACATGATATTACGCTCAAATAATATTGGTCCTCCGCTTTGCTGCTCTGGTTGCATGCGCCCGGGGGGGGGGGGTTCAATCTATTACTTCTCTGAAAAAATAAAAATAAAATAATAATATGAGATTGAAGGGTAAGCATGAAAATAATTTGGGCAACTGAAAGAGCTGTAAATAGTTAAATGCACCAACTGAGGTTAAAGAGAGTAGCCTAACTTTTCTTAGTAAACAAATGGTTTATGAGTCAATTGTTAGGAGATCAATCGAATTCATTGCCACCTTACTCTTTAACAACTTGAACCGGCTAAAAAAAATAAAGATTCTGGCAGGCAAATCCTTGCTAGTATGTATATTCAATAGAGAGAGTAGCCTTGGGATTAATGAAAGTAGAAGTTCAGTGCTTATGGGTATATCCAAGCTTTTAGAAAGTTTAAGGTACAATACATGATATACATACCATTTGCCTACTAAAAGAGACTGCCTCTTTTTTTCTTTTCTTTTTCCTTTTTTTCTTTTCTTACCTCCTCCTGCTGCACAAATAGACAAACAAAAAGCTTCTCTTCTATTCCTCCTCTCTTCCTTCCCACTTTCTTCTCTCAAGAGGAATTTGCATGTCATCTTCCATCCGGGAATCTCAGCTCAACATACCTTACTTTTCCCCCCTCTCCTTCCCTTTCCTTCCAATTCTAATAATTACCAAACCCTTCTTTTCTATGCTTTTCTTTTCTTTTACCTTCTGCTGCAAATCTCTTCTTTTCCATAACCTCAGCACAGTATAGACTTCCACACTACAAATGAACTTACGAAATAGTTATTCGCATGGCTTTCTTCATCCCATGTTATATAAAGAAGCATCTTTCTACCGTGTTACTTAAGCTAATAACTGTAAAAGCCCATTTTCATTAATACTTTCTATTTTCATCCATAAAAAAACTTCAAATTTTAGTAAACAGAAGCTTAGCAAATGATGGTTACAAGACAGGGACTAAAACAAAGAGATTGATGATTGCGATAGCTAGTGTCTGCTATGACTCGGGTCCCCATTTCCTCACCTCTAGTAGTCATTTCTAATGAAACTCATAAAGGAAAGTCCCTAGCATAATGGCAATCTCAATGCCCATTTTGAACATAAAATAATGTATATAGGTCTCATTGTGTGTGGGTGTGTTTAACTTATAATAAAACTGCTGCCCCATCGATTTCTTCTCCTAAATGCTGTTCATGGTTTTAGTTAAATAGCTACTTATCTGAAGTTAATTTCTAGATCCCCATGCCTACCATTTTCATATCGTTTATGTACAAAGTCTCTTTCCCCAAACGTGGCAGTTACTGACTGTAGCTATACAGTCTTAATGGAACATTCAGATAAGGCAATGGAAGAGCTTTGAAATTTAAATCACACAGCATCTAAAGCATAACTGAGAGATGCTGCAATATTCAAGGTTTCGTAATGAATTATATTCTACAAACTTCTTGATAACTCACATGTAAAAGTATTGACTGTGACAGAAAGCTTGAGATGAAAATATGCATCAATTCACTATCTCGAGATCACTATGGGACCAATTCCCTAAAGAAGAATGTACCACAAGATATCTTGACCAACTCACAGTTTTAATACATCAAAATTCCCTCCAAGTATTGATCCAACACGTTTCAAGTGCCTACAATATAAAAAAAATGCAAAACTAAGAATGCGAAGTTCAGAACTTAATCTTTGTTGTGAGTAAGATGCATCATAACTGAGAAAAAATTCCTCTATTTTATATCATCGATTTGATCATGGAAAGATTCCAAAATCTTCTAATTATGCTTTATTACAATCATCCTTTGAATGATGTTTATCTGTGTTCTTGTGAAAATGCTAGTATATTACCTTTGTTAAACAAGCAAAAGCAATGAACAAACATCCTGCCAAGGAAATTATGATGGAAAAGAATAAAGAACAAAATGAAAAGAAGTGCAGCATAAGGAAAGTTCGATATTCCTTTTTTATTTTGTTTGGTTGTTGGGAGAGGGGATAAAGGTCTTCAAAGGTGAGCTGGATCAGAAATCTATAATGAATTGATTTGAAACTAAAAGTGGATGTGTTCATCACAGCTACAAGGGCAAGACATGCCCACACTACACCTAATAGAGTCAGAACTTCGATGATATGCATTGGAAAAAATAACATGATTATGCACAATGGTCCCAAGAGTAACTTTGAATAATCCAAAGTAGGATGAGTAGAATCAGATGATGACACCATTTTTTTATTTATCAGAACCATGCAGTGGACAGGTATTTTAAAACTTTACTAAGCTTAAAAAATTGAGATATTATATTGCTGGAAGGATAGTAAGAATGAATTTAGAAACCTTATGCTTGGTTTGCATTGCATCAACCATCTACACTGACAAAGTTGAAACTCTAGGCTCTAGCTGATTAGTTAAGAGGTGACATCCCACACAGTTAAGTATTCAGTTTCCTGGGATTTTATATTCAAGCTAGGTCTCTCCACCCATTTCTAATTAATATCATGTTTAATACAGTATAACAGCCCACGAGTGTTTTGTCCTTCCTGCATAATCCCATGCAAGGTTGACAAGCCCTTCTAAGTTTGTTCACATGCATGCCTCTGTTGAGCAACATGTGAGGGAAGTGATAATTTATCCCGCATCTTTTAAAAATTGGGCTTCCTATGGTCTTCTATTGCCAATTGTTTTAGGCATGAGGCTTAACAATTGAAAACCAACAATAAATTTTTTTTATCCTTTGTGCAACTCCACTTAGGCCCATCATAGTAAACCATAATGATAGAAGAACTCGATAGAATTTTCTATGAAAAACCATTTTCATCAAACAACTCATAGCTCAAAATGAAGATTGCCTTTATTACTTAAATCAGCTCAAAACATCCAGGCTCGCCTGCCCCCCCCCCCAACAAAAACAAAACCAACACACACACACATAAGAAAATTAAACTTGAATAAAATTTGTCGCACTTTAATTTGAGAAAGAAGGTTTTATTATCGAAATATCTCATTATAGATGATATCACAAATCTCAGAAACCATAAAATAGTAAGTATTTATATTATGTTTTGAAACAAAAAGTTCTGAAAGTCAACGTACCGCCTGGGTGTAAATGACACTTTCCCATTTAGAATGCATCCATTGCTGCAAATTGGTTATCAAATACACCATAGAAGAACTGGCAGAATTTGATCCTGAAACTATGATATGCAAGATATCAAAAACCATTTGATGCATTAGAACAACTACATAGGAACACAAGAAAAGGTAACACGTAGTAATCTTCTTTGTTGCTCTGTCTTATCAAAAACCATAAGGACTTCTGTCCCCACTGGTGAAAGCAAGAGAATTATTAGAGCTCCCAAAGTTTGGGGGAAGTTGTACAGCAAGTGCAAAGTGATAGAACACAAATGGTTATTTATTCCTTAATAAAAAAAAGAGGGAAGAGGAAAGAAGACCACCAAGGAACAATGAAAGAAAGCAAGGCAGCTTAGAATAGTAAAAAGAACAATAGAAAGTAATTTACAATAAAACTTATAGGTCTTATCAAAAAAATAAATAAAACTTATAGGTAACACATTCATCATACTATTATTTTAAGTTCCTTTGTGCAGAATCCAATTTTCACAAATTTAGTTTTCGACAAGAAGTGTTATAAATAGAGCAGAGGCCTCACTTGGACAAACACCAACGTTTAGTTGCTACTAAGGTTAAACATGAATTCTTCAGTTTTAAAATACAAATAATATTATAGGAAAAATAGCTCATGAAAATGATTTTCAAGTTTAACAACATTCAAACTAGCATTAATGAAAATTCTAGACACATTGTGAAAATGTAATAATGCCTATAGAAGATTGCACAATCATTGAAAGAAACGTATCCTGAAAGATACACAGTTCAATAATCTGCAGAACTTTAACTACTGGAACACCTTCTAAATCAAATTTTCATTCATTCAAACTTTATGTTGCTCGTCTATCTCATAATATTTGTTGTAGTAGTCAACACTGTTGATTTTATCAGAAACATTAAACTTTATGTTGCTCATCTATCGCATAATATGTCGAACAATTTTTAATAAAGTTCAAGAAGATGAATTTTGTTTTCCACCAAATTTTCAAGCTTCCTTCTAAGCTCTAAGATACAGCTACAAGATTTTCAAACCAAATTTCTATGAAAACAGTTCCTGCTGTTCCAACAAGCTATAAATTCAAAGAAAAAGAATGTACAATTCTAAAGACAGAAAAGTTCTAAAAATCTAAAACAATAGTATGGACGCAGTCCAAGGAAAATATTACCAATAAGCATATGATCTATCATAGAATGCTTAAGTGACCAGACAAAAGAATAGTTCTAGGCTGCTTTCCCAACAAAGAATAAAAAAAATAACCACAGTAAATACCGTAGAAGAAAACGTACCATTTCTCTATCTGTCAAACTTCATATAGCAGGTTCATTCCATGAGAAAGAGAAACTCAAATTAGCTAAGAAAATTAATAGTGATTAACAGATACAATTTCATATAGAAGGTTCATTCCACGAACATCATAGTGCCACTGATAATTAACAACAATCAGAAAATCTTACACTATCTACTAGGTGGAACCTGAATCAATATCTAAGATGTTGTACAACCAACACCCTAGGTTGAACATGTATATATAGTTAAGAAGAGCATAAGACAACTTTTTATTGTTAGTCTGTAAAACATTCAGGCAGTGACAAACAAAGCTACATAAGTTTTAACACGAAGTTATAAGTCAACCTTTACTCACTAAAATAAATATCATACAAAGACACTCCCAAGGTCCCAAATCTTTTGCAAAGCCTAAATTTTCCTTCGTAACATTACTTTATCACTTTGTCTTATGAACAGGTACCCTCACAGTATATGCTTTGCTTGTTCACCATGTCTTTTATGATTCTCTAGCTGTCAACAGAAAACTCAACTTACACGGGAAGATACAGATATTGACTTGCACCGCTGACCAACTTTACTTTAGGGTATTGTATTCCTCTATTTCAAATGGTGGCTATTATCCCAATCAAAGTGCTTACATATCAAATTGTTCAAGGTGGGTTCTCTGATTCAACAATTCTTTTCGCAGTAAGGAGATTTATCATAACTGAAAAAGAGGAAAGAAGATAGAAATAGAATAGAAGTAATTTTCGTAACAAGAATGATTCCAAATATGCAAATAATCTGAATGAAAGAAATTCAACAAAAAAAAAATCCAAACATGTTTTCTTACCTATAAACACATGCAAGTAAAACAGACAAATAAAGGATCATTTCGACTAGCCAAAAGAAACAAAAAAAGAAAAACACATCTGGTAAATGGGTCTATTATATTTCTGTAAAAAAACAAAGTTAGAAAATTTGAGTAAGACAACTAAACCGAAAAACTAGCACATGGGACAGATTCCTATTTCGATCATCCTATATATGGCTGTATTAAAGGGAATTGAAATTGTCACGTCAAACATTATTAATCTTCATCCACTTGTCCACCCAGATTATGCTTAAATTAAAATAAATTGGGTCTAATCAAAAGCCAAGCATAAGAATTGATACTGTGGCTAGAAAGATACCTTGGATAAAACATGATCAGCCATAAGAAGAATAATGTTTCAAGCCAAATATCTTGGATATTCTGTTGAGGTTTCTGTGTTCTTGTGTTTGTCCAGTTTTTTAGGTCCTGGTCTTACTGCTGCAGGTCGTTCTATGTTTTTAAGTTTTATGTCAAGCTGTCTATGACTACGAATTGGTTGTACGTTATGTTTCAGGGTAATAAAATTCAGAGGTGCTCTTGTCCTCCTTCCAATGTCCTTCATGTTACTGATATAACATGAAGGATATGAAGGGGGTTTTAATTAGGCCTAACTTCTATCAAAAAAAAATTAGAACAGAGAAGATAGTTGCCTAAATAAAAGCTGTTCCCCAGGTTATGGACTAGATAAATAAATCTTTCTCCACCAATAAAAAATTAAATCTGCTTGCAATAAATAAATTCATCTTGACAATCACTTTAAAATTTCATGATGAGATGGAGATTTGAAAGATCAAAACCATAGATTATATTTAATTTCTTCCAAAATAATCAAAAATGTAAATTAGAAAGTTACATCTGGACTATATGCAGGATCAAGAGTATACTGCTGGTTAATATAAGTTCACTATCGTTTGGAATGTTGTATAATGCAATATCCGAGTTAATGGAAATTATGACTCAGAGATTACAAATGAGATCAGTCACACTAGAAAGGAAGCACAAAATAGTGAAATACCGACAAAACCGTGAAAACTATATATTTAATTGGAGATAACGTAAAAGAAAAAAACAAAAAGATGAAACTTCTGAATTAAAACTATCTACAACCAAACTAAGAACGCTAAGTGGATTTATTGCGCGGGAGACTTACAATAATTAGAATTGGAATTAAAGCTTGCTCTACATTAGATTCTCCTTGTTGAACTTTTGAATTAGAATTAAAGCTGCAATAATTGTCGACTTTTTCCCCATTTCACTTAGAAAAGCCGATAAAAGCGTAACTTGTTAAATGGAACATATATACAGATGCAAAAACAAAAATGATCATGGTCCTGTCATTCCAAGAGACAGAAGACATCAAAATCCACTATATTACAGAGAAAGTGAGAAATACCCTCTGATGGCTTATAAGATGACATTAAAACAGCAGTCCATTTATAGATAACATGGCCTCTATAACCTCCATGAAAGTTCCTACCCGTCCCTAAATTTATATTTATAAATAATAAAACAAACAAATAAATATTTTGATTTAATCAAATAAGTTGCAGAATTCCACTAATAAAAATTGAATTAGAAGGCTCTCTTTGCTTAATCAACTAATTGAATGATTAATCGTGGAAGAAATAAATAACAAACATGAAATGACTTCCATTATCGGATTTCAAATCCATTTCATAATCTTAAACTAAACATTCTTAATTATAAGGATTCCACTTGGAAACTCCAAACCGATTTCAAAAAAAACAACTCCAGAGTTTAAAGGTTCATAATCATAGAGGAGAAGTAAGGACAGAAGAGAAAACCTCCAAACAGCGGAGGTCGCCATTAGAAGCACTCCACTTGGAAACAGCTAGGAAACCTCCAATGAACACCTTCAAAAACGAAAACATATCAGCAAACTGAAATTGAAAACAAATAACAGAGTATACGGCGGGAACGTATCAGGATTAAATGGGAAAGGCAGTCCAGTATGATAGTTGATGATTCAAGGTCAAAGGGCCGATATCTCGATTTTACAATGGTGAAATTCCTTTATTAGTCCATGTATTATATGTATATTATGAATTTAGTAATTTCATTTTAATTTGGATACTCGTGTATTTTTTTTAAATTTTAAATTTCAATTTTGACAAACTGTAATCATAAATTTTATGTTTTTATATTTTTATTATGTATAAATTGTATTATTTTTATTTTTTATTTGTTTGACCTTTTATAATTCATATAGTATAGTATGTTCTCTTTTTTATAATAAGTCCATATAATACATTTTTTCACAGGAAGACATTAGTACACTTTTTGAAATTATTATATTATATTATATTATATGATTATTATTTGATCTAAGAACGTTTTTATAAGTAATGGTTAAATTTGTTTTTAAATAATGTAAGATTATTCGTTAATAAATTACAAAATAAATGTCCAAATAATGTCAATTTTTACTAATGGTGCTTAAATTTTATTTTGGATGATCCATGTGTCTAACATTACAAACGTTATCATTTTAGATGTTCGGGCCGTAAACGCTGTTAATTTTCTCTCTTAAGTGACACGTGTTGAGCTCTGATAATTTTAAAATTTTTATTTAAAATTAAAAAGTTACAAATATAATTTTATTTAAAAGAAAAAACCCAAAACTCTAGAGAATATTAAAAAAGGAATCGAACTTTGAAAACATTTATTTCAATCTCTATACCTGCATTGGCCACCTCCGTTCGCCGTCATTGTCGTCGACGAATCACTAGCCTACCGAATCGACACCAATGATCCAGCCACTCGAAGCCTCCCTAATCGATGATTTAACTTGACGAACACGACAACTTAAATTGTGAAATTGAAGCATCCGACGACTCCGACAACAACCACGATGACATGGACAAGGGTGACTAACAATGAAGATAACAAGGATGCGTTGGCGATCCTTGTTGTCTTCATTGTGGTCGATAGGTAGGTTAGGGTTGGGGATTTAGGGGGATTGTGGGCTTTTTTGTATTTATAAAAAAGTTTTTTTATAAATTTGATATTTTTAGGGATCCATGTGCCTAACATTCTAAACATTACCACTTTAAGTCTCGGGCCATAAACGTCGTTAATTTTCTCTCTTAAGTAACACGTGTCAAAATCTAGTAATTTTGAAACTTTTTATTTAAAATTAAAAACTTAAAAATATAATTTTATTTAAAAGAAAAACCCAAAACTCTAGAAAATCTTAAAAAATAATCAAAACTTTGAAAACATTTATTTCAATCTTTATACCCATACAGATCACCTTTGTTTGCCGCAATTGTCATCGACAAACCTCCAGCTGACCGAACCGCCACTAATAACCCAGCCACCCGAAGCCTCTCTAATCGATGATTTAACTTGAAAACTCGACGATTTAAATTGTGAAATTGAAGCATCCGACGACTCTGACAACAACCACGATGGCATGGGTAAAGACGTCTAACAATGAAGATAACAAGTCAGCGTCGACGACTGTGACCGGAATGGAAGTTAGGGTTAGGGTTAGGGATTTAGGATTTAGGATTTTTTTTTGGTATTTTTGAAAAAAATGGATTTTTTTTAAAATATAATATTTTTAATTTAAAAAATTATCAGAGCTTGACACACATCACTTAACTGACCTTTTTAATGATCATCAATCTCGGAAACTTAAAATTGTAACATTTGCAACGTTAGACACTTAGATCATTCAAGAAATAGTTTAGGCAACTATTCGTGAAAATATGTATAATTTAGACCTTTATTTTATAATTAAGCCTAAAATAAATCATGTGTATATAATTATTTATATGTTTTATATTAGGTAGTATTTGTTCACTATTTATGAAAACATTCCCTTTTTGACTTTATGATGCATTTAGGAAAATATTCCCTTTTTCCGTTGAAATCGTTAATGAGTTCACCATTTATGTATTTTGATAAATTAAGATTATATTGATTGAATTTTAACGCTTTGGTAAATGATGAACGACTGTTGAGATAAAAGACGAGCTTTTTGAAGCGACATTCGCACTG